ACAGGTGGCAAAATTATGAAAACTTCTTAGGTATTACCAACCACCTTGGGTTTTCAGATCAGGCTGACAGATCAGGCCGTGAAGGGCTACTGTGCTTCTGTTTTGGGTCCCAGATGATCTCCTTTACAACCTGTTTGAGACGGTGCCTACCAGTAACACAGAGGGAGGGTGGTCCTGCTGTGTAGCTGAACACACCCACCACAATGACATGCCCATCTCTGAAGCTGCCAACAGAGCACTAAACACCTTCCAGGAAGACTTCATGCCAGTGAAGACCTTCTCAGAGTTTCTCAACATGTTTGGCCTTTTATCAGAAATCAATGATCCAGAGAGCTTCCTGAAGAGCCTGTTGAACTCAGTCCCCTGACCCTCTACATGGAAACTACAGTTGATGAAGACTGAGCTTGCCTTCCTTCCCTCAGTGCTCTTCCAGTCTTGTGCATTGGTTTTCCTCCAAAGGGATACTGTATCACGAACCCTCTCTCCCTTCTTCCCTCATTTTTTCTTGGAGTGGCTTGGGGTTTTTAGGCTCTCCATTTTTTCTTGTGTGTGGTGCGATAGCTATTATAGTGTCTGTAACCCAAGCCACCAAAGGACCTGCACATACAAAGGAGCCGTAAGTTGTCTTGGCAACTGAATTCTTGAGTGTACACATCTTGAAAAATAAGCAAATGACAATATACACTGTACTGAAGGACAAAATTCAGAAGGGTTGGCAAAGGATGATGACTTCAAACAAGAAACAAATAAAGGACGTGGAATAACTGAAGCTACATTGCAAGAGATTGCAATCTAGGTGAAACAAAATATTTGATTTGTTGAATGTAAACTGATGGTCTGCCCTATAAACCTTCACTCAGTTCTGGACCTTGAGGTGCAACCAGAGCTCAGAACCAGAGACCAAGGGGACACCATGGTCAACTGGTATAACATCCACAAATCCAATGTTCTACATCGTACTTTGGTGAATAGCGAACAGGATACTCAGAGCTCATGAGCAACTATCTAAAGGAACAACTACTGGTCATTTACTGTTTGGAAGAAAGAAGAGTGATGAAAATTGAAGACGTGTAGTGCTGAGGGTTAATACGCTGGACTGTAATATCAGTTTAAACCACACGGTTGGCGGTTCCAGCTCACCAGCCACTCCTCAGAAACTCCATGAGTCAGAACTGACTCAACAGCACTTAACAAGAAGAAGAAGACCTAATGGACCATGGGAACATCATACTCCACAATCCTGATACCAGAAGAACTAGAGGGAGACAAGCTATACTTACCAACTACTCTGAAAAGGATCACTAGAAGGTCCTGTATAGAACGGGGGGAAATGTGGAACAAAATTCAAAATCATAAAAAAAAAAATAAAAAAAAAGCCCAGGCCAACTGTTTGGATAGATACTGGTGCAACCCCGAGACTATGGTCCTATGTTCACCCTTCACATTAGAAACTGAACTCACCTCTGGACCCACAGAATGATGAACCATACAAGATCAAAAGGTCAGCATGTACCCAAGGACAAAATTCAGAAAACAAGAAGTCCAGGGAGGAACTGGGATAAGTGAAGTTACATGGAGGAGACTATGATCTAGAGGAAATGAAATATATGACTTGTTGGAGTTAAACCAATAATCTGCCCTGTGAACCTTCACTCAGTTCACAGAGAAAAGCTTTGTTTTAAAAAAGGGAGTGGCAGTATTAAAAAGAACCACAAAAGGAATGGAAAGAACTCCAGTTTGACTAGATATAATAGTGGAAAAGGGGGGGTGGGGAATAAGGTAGAATTGGATCATACAGCTTTTGTAAGTCATGGTACGAAATTTAGATTCCATCTTACAGATAACTGAGACGTCACACAGGTAGGGTTTTATAGATGAGAGTGTCACGATCAGTTTGGTTTTTATTGAAGGTTCATTCTAGCTACAGAGTGGAGAATAGAAGAGGAGAAATAAACTTAGCAAGAGGAGATTTGGGCCCACAGCCTATGAAAGCAGCTGTCGAGATAGACAAAAGTGGATTGAGTGGAGAGAGGATAGAAACAAAATGGACCAGATTTGATCTTCTTTCAGTTGATGGGAAACTAACTTAGCAAATTTCTCTTAAATGTCATTTTTTAAACTACTAAAGAGCTTCATCTTCTTTTGTTGTTACGTGCCATCGAGTCAGTTCTGACTCATATTGACCCTGGACAGGCTTTCCAAGGAGTGGCTGGTGAGATTGAACTGCCGATCTTGTGGTCCAAACCAACAATGTAGTCCAGCGCATTAAACCACAATGCCACACTAAGACCCCTTTAGAGGTCCACAACTTTTTATCTGCAATTCCCAAAACCAAAAAGCTCTAAAAATGGAAAGGCTGATGACAGCAGAACCCGAACTGAATTAACATGAGGGTCTTCATTTTGCCTCATTTCATTCTACATGAACCTTCAGACATTTCACTGCAGAAATATTAGTACCTGTGATTTTGGGTGTTGCCACAGAACACATGAGGTTTCATATAGTGCTGGTGGTGTTCAATGCCGTCAAGTCGGTTCTGACTAACAGTGACCCTGTATAGGGTTTCTAAGGAGCAGCTGGAAGGTTTGAACTACTGACCCTGCAGTTAGCAGTCTAGTGCTTATCTTACAGAACCACATCAGGACTCCTATATAATAGATGATTTAATGCACTACATTAAACAAACAAACAAATACCCCAAAACCAAAACGCGCTGAGTAGATTCTAGCTCTTAGCCACTCTTTCGGGCCCCACATGGTTTTCAAGACTACCAACATTTCCAGATGTAGACTGTTACATCTTTCACTTGGAGTCTCTGGTTAATTCAAACTAGCTGACCTTTCAGGTACCACACAAGCACTTTAACCATTGTGCCACCAAGGCTATTACCCACCTAAAACTTAAACAGAATCTAAATTCAGCTACACTTTTGGACCCTAGTGTTTCTTACAAAAATTTGTGAACCTGAAAATTGCCATATTTGCTTTCTCGCTTTTAAAGGTAGCTGAGATCTTGCTGATACATATTGCTGTTGATCATCAACCCGTGTGAGTGTGTGTGTGTGTGTGTGTGTGTGTACACATGCATGTGTGTTTGGTAAGGGAGGAGGGTGTAGGAAACTCAGCTGTTATAGTTGATTGTACGTAAGATCTGGAGTTAAGTATGTTTATGTTTTAACTGTTGCCCTTTAGACATGCATTACATTAAATACATGGAAGTGTTCATTGTCAGGAAGGGTTTGCCAATGTAGTGAAATGACCATAGGGCTAGCCTCATGCATCTGTCCCCTCTGGGGACGAATACTTTTTTCTAATAAGATGTCTGCTGTAAGAAGCCAGGGCCATCAAAAGGATTCAATCTTATACCTTCCCCTATAGCTGTCAACCCTCATTCATTTTGAAACCACTGACCCAGTGCTGTACTAAGCAATATGGAGACTAATGATATAATCCCACACCATTATCAGGGAAGCGCTTCTATAGAGGATGCTTCATGTGTATTTGTTAAAACAGTACACTAACAACAACAACAAAAGAAGGTATATGAATCTATGTATTTGTATCTATTTATGTCAGTTGTGTTAACACAGAAAATGTTAAAAATAAATGCTAACAAAACATGTTAACTATGCCATTAAGAAATGAGAGAAACAGGCTGCTGTGTTTTGGGGGAAATTACAGTGTTTTGGAGAGGGTAGGAGCGAACACCTGGGAAATTCTCTCCTCTTTGATGGGTAAGATTTGAAGCGACTGTTAGAAAAAGAATTTAAGGGCATCTTCCCATGGTCTTGTATAGTATCTCCACATTGACACCTCTCATCAGAGACTGACCTTATTCATCAAGAAGGTTTTAGAGTTGGATTATCCAAGTTCACTGTTGGACTCCCACTGACCTTGAAGCGACCTAGGTGTCTTTGGGTTGCAAAGACAATAACATAAAAAGGTTCTTGGTAGTTTGAGGTCCTTTTGAAATGCAGAAGTAAAGTGGCCAGAAAGGTCTTACCTTCAACACAAGAAGGTTGCGCCCGACTTGTACCAGCCACCTGTCCTGGGAAGCAGGAGCACTTGACTGTTTGGGAGCGCTCTTCTATCCGGTTCTTATTGCAGCATCTGTGCACAGCCACCACCTCACACGTCCCTTGCTTGATTTGATGGTGACCTAGAAGATGGAAAAAAACAGACCACTGTGTTCAGAGGCACATAGACAATGCTAACATTACATTTTCCAACTTTCTGAGCTGTACTTAGGCATCTTTATTAAACATTTTTATTTTGATACTCAAAGGGGCTTCGAAAAGTCTGTAGAATAGACTTGGAGAAAGACAGAATTTTCTACTAAATTTTTCTTTTCCTACTAACTTTCTGGTAGC